GTCTTCCACCTGTGCACCCTCGCTAAGTGGAGTGCTTGCCGAACGGTTATTTTCCTTAACTCTGTATTTATCAAAGCAGCTACTGGGGGCACTCAGGAAGCAAAACTGGCCACCAGCATGTGGCCAAATACAGGGGCTCAGCATCCAGCAGAACGAGCTGAGGGAGAGCAACCTTCCTCCCGGCCGGCCGGTGCCCGAGGAGAACGTGACCCTCATGTAAATGTGAGCAATAATCTTCTTTTTGGAGGCGTGCTCTAACTGGGGGATTTGCATCCACTGAGCTGTTTAGGCTCCGTTTTAGGTTTGAGCTCTGAGCAAATGCAAATGTCTTCAAATAAAGTAAAAGCAGAAAGGCTGCTGGATATCAAGCATTTAAATATAATGAAGCTGCAAAGGAAGCGATAGCCTCACCTTGCTCCACACGCAGCTCCAGCCATTTACACTCGAGTAGGTGAATTCAAGAGTGCAGAAATAGACCTGTAAATATATGGAGATTCTGCTTTTGCAGTAGTTTATTTTTCAAAGCACATCTACTCCTTACCACATATTTGGGTCACACTCCACCTCACAGCCCTCACGCTGCTTTCCAAAAGAAGCTGTTTGAACTTGCTACTTTTCAAGTGAAGCATAAAATACAAGTCAACACCTAACTTTTAGTGTTGTCACCCCTTTCAACTTGCTGCTAATTACTATCTCAAATTACATACATATCCTAAAATGTCTACATTTCAGTGCAGTAAGTTCTTGCTACTTGTCTTTCCTATTTTTAAAATATACGTGACAAATATTTCCATATTTTCTATTTCTACATCCTACTGACCACATCTAAATCTTATGTTAGGATATTCCTGTGATCAAAATGCAATGAGGCAAAATGGAATATAGCCAAGGCCCTCCACTCCTTTTGTAAAAGATGGATTTGTGATCTTTATAGAGTCAAGTCTTGCTGTATGACTTGATTGTTCATTTCATCTCAGGCAGGCCAGTGTCCCCCCTACCTCATGCTTCGCCATCGCTTCATTTTTGACGTGTGAGAACACCATTTCTCATGATTTCTTGAGCACTGCAGGAGACAGCCATTCTTTAAATGTTTCCCATCTGAGTACCAGTCTGAGGCAATGGTGTCCAGCTTGTGAAACAGCACGTGTATTCGGAGGACAAGCTTTATTTGAAGTAGGGATACCAAAACTTTATAGTGCCCCCCCACACACCATAGATCCAAGCTTACCAGACAGTATTGCCTCTAGCTGTTGCAGCAGGCATCCTCCTTACCTCGTAAGCTGTACTATTGTGCAGCAGCCCTTAGCTAACCTGAATAAAACTGAACAGAAGGGAGTTTGCAGATGGAAACAGTAAACCCTATCTTGCTGCCTAGCTCCGGCACTCAGAGAGAAAGCTATACCTAAGACAAAGATTCAGTGTTTAAGGGAGGCAATGAGGAATTAATTATACAAGAAGGTACTTCAGTTTAACACTTAACTGGATGACAGATGCTGGCAGCCTGGGGCTTTGTCATCTCCTTTCAGGCACTCTTTTGGCAGCAGGCTACCTTCTGCTCTAGCCCAGAATCTCACACCTATCCCAGGCACGTCAACCAGGTTCTTCTCTCTCATTTGTCAGCCCTCCCCCTCTCCCTGCTCTGAGCACCCCTGAGCCTTTCCCTCACCTTTTCCCTCATCCTCATGCAGAGCTGAACCAGCTCGTGAAGCAAACGTTCACACTTCCCCACTCTTCAGCTGAATTTTGCTGTTTTCAGCTGCATCATTCATTTCTAGCTCATATTGTTCCTTGTGATGTACATTGTCATTCCACTTGTGTGCCTCTGCTCTATGCACTGGTCCATCCATCACCAGCCTGAAAACCTGAAGTCTCCAACCATTTTCACGTACTGCCACTATTACCAGAACGCAGTTGCTGCATACACCTGTGCCCTGATCTGATCTCACTAGTCCCACTAAAACCTGTCTCTTTCCAGTTACCTTTAGCGACTCACTCTTTGTCAAATTTCACTTGTGTTTCCTACAAAAATAAATCCCCAGATGAAGGCTTCCAGCAACTTGGGTTAACCATCACAGGATGAGGCTGATGGTGAACTGGTCAACACAACAGAACACAATGAAATTACAGATACATGGAGGAGCCCTAAGGAATTACCCATTTAAACAGCAGTTGACTATTAGCCTTAGGTTTCTGGAGGCTCGCATTTTAATAAACACTAGCAAAACAGGCGTTCCTGAGTACATTTGCTCATATATTGATTCCAGATGGTTTGATTATATTTAAACTTGTCTTACTTGCAGTCAAAAAGCTGAATAACTGTGATCTGGAAGGGCTGGAAATCTAAGGAACCCACAATGGACCAGATAGAGCGTTTCAGAGGGAGACTGTCACATAAGTTCAGCACTAACAGCTGTAGCAAGCTTAAAAAGATATGGTTTAAAAAGAAATGCCAGCATTGGTGAAACCAGATGATGACATTTCTCCTGTTTGGACCCATTTTTTTCAAGCGCAACACCCACAGATTCCCATTCTCCATTTCCATTTCACAATCGGATACAAACGGGGACTTTCTTGAGAGGGTTGTGAATGTTTTATTAAAGAGTCTTACCAATAAATTACTTCAGTGAAAAATCAGCTTTTTAAAAGTAAAATCTAATCTGGCAGGGTTGAATAAGTAACAAGATGAACTCAGCCATGCAAACAAAATATTACTAAGTTACTTTAATAAAATTTTATCACAACAACCTCAGGAAGAGAAGTGTGTCCTGGAGACCTGAACAGTTAATCTTGGATTTTTATTAGTATTTTTGATTTTTTTTTGTTATGTTCTCTCCTCTGGTACAAAGCTGTCTTCATTTTGATGCTAGAAAAGGATAAATTTCGGGGGTGTTTATGCCTGTGATTCTTTTCTTATTTTATATCACTGTAATAAAAATAGCACCATCAGTCTACAGTGCTCTCTGCAGTACACGTAAGCAACTGGTCATCACACTGAAGCAGAACTTCTAGAGAAATAGAGCTTATTCCTAGACAGTAATTGCTCACAAAAGGCGTAGCTCCAAACTCTTTTCAGTATGTGCCCTTCATTTTCTGTTCAGCACCTCTTATGATGTTTATTAAAGCAATTTTATTAGGTTATGTTGCATACAACAGGATATTCAAAATTCCATCCTGACCTTCACAGCAGTATCACATACTGCCTGGAAGATAACCAACAAACATTTTCTTTGTATATACAATCAGCATTCTGAGCTTGCACCTACTTGTTGACAAATGCTTACCGGTTTCACTTAAATACAAGAAAACCAGAGAACATTGAGACATTTGAAAATAAGTGTTACCATATTCTTAATGTATTCTGGATGGTTTAGCTCAAGTCATTAAGTACTCTTGATTTCCAGGGCTTAATTAGACACCATTTTTACAAAAGCAACATCATATCTTAACATTAATCAAGCATAACTTTTAAAATTTTTATTGTGCAAAACTTAAGCAGTAAGTCTTATTAGTACAATAAGCTGAAAAAGCAAGGGATATTTAAAACAATATTCACATTCAGTGAGCAATTTTTATCCCTACCTCCCTCTTTTGATGTGGAATCTAGAATTCCCATCAGTAAGTGCTATCTGAAAATACCAATTGTTTGTTTCACCTTTTGTTATTTGTATATTCAGAATATATTTTTGCATTAGGTTTTTAAACACAATTAAAACAGCTGTTTAAGTTGATAAATACACATTAGACACTGAAAAGGGTGAAAAAAAATACATACTAAAGGCATCCACCTAAATGGTGGCATGACTGGTAATTTATAGCTTATATTCAAAAATATAATTAACGTTCTGATTTTCCATTTTGAATTGAAGATTTTAGCAAATAACCCAAAGTTTTGTTTAAAAATTCTGGCATCTGCTAATCGAAAAATGAATTTAATTCAATAATTAATTTTAGATAAAATGTTTAGCCTTTTAGGTATTAAATGTTACTAGTCAAGGCAGTTGCAAAGACTGTTTGATGTTTACATAGCACCATATAGATCAATATCTCCTTGAGAAAGAGAGAGATTATGTTTGCCTGGGAACATAATCAGAGTATTTCCTGAATATTTTAGGTATCTTTGCCTTCCACATGACAAAAATGTGCAACAATTCCTTAATTTGAGAAAAAAATGCACAGAATTCCACTCAATCTTTAAGATGGTGCTATCATTAATTAAAATCTCTATGTATAAAAGTATCAAGAACTCTTCAGTAGTCAATATAATATTCAAAAGCAGATCAATAGTTTTATGTAAACCTGTTAAAAAACAACCACATAATTTGGCTTTAAAGTGACAAAGTATTTTGCTTAATATAATTTACTAAGCACGTGAAGAACTAACGTCAAACTACGATTTCAAAAAAGATGCAGAGACTGGATTATCTCTGATATTGAAATACTCAATTAAAATATATAACTATATAAAGAATCTCAAAGAAATATAATTTGTTACAGTAGTATTGTTCATTCCAGTAATAATCCTTCCTATAAGAAGGCTGCATGTTAACAAAAATACACTAATCAGATGTAGTTCCCAATTAGAGAACATCAATATTCTCTCCTCTGCCCTGAATTTACTGCAAAGCACACTAGGTTTTCTACCTAAAGAAAAAGGGAATTATGCTCACTATCCAGATGGCCATTCCCCAGCCCTAAGCAAAGTCTTGTCAACTTACCCACAATTGTTAGGTTTAGGCTAGCAACAAATCTCGCAGTAAAGTGTTAAAAGATGGAGTAACTAACAAGTCATCTTCTGTATTTTAAATCACTGAAATTGGCATATCAAAATATTTATAGAAGCATGAGTGCTGGTGACATCATCGACTCTTACAAACTGAGCCTTCCGTAAAAGTTGCACAAATGGAAGAACTGGAAATAATATCCAACAGAAGGAAGATTTTCTAATATTGAGCCCCAATTTCTTATAAACTAAGACACATATTTCAGAGACAGACACTGCTCGTTATTTTGGCCCTGTTCTTCTCCCAAAATCAGCTTCACAAGCTGTTATCATGCCAATAAAAAAAAATACACTCTCTTAAAACATTGTATATAGAGTTCTGGATTCAAAAAAATAAAATGTATAAGCAATTTCACATTCTTGCTATGAAACATCAACTAAAAAATATGAATCTTCATAAAGAAACCAAATTGCATTTTAGACTTTGTATCTATATTGATACAGTTGTCTGTATTTGTGGAGAATTCTGCATCTTCAGAAGTTCAACATGAGCAAAATTCAATTACATTTTTAAGAAAATTCCACTTTTAAAAGTTATATGTAATATCATATATGACAGGCTAACAATCTAAAGACCAATCTCAAAGCTGTAAAAAGTTTGCTCCAAATCTCTCTATACTCCCCAAAAAAGGCACTAAGCAGTTTAATTGTGCAAATGGCTTCTTAGAAGAAACAGTGTGCAAACAGAGCCTGTTCCATTAGCTCTGCATTCTTGAGTGATTTCCTAGAGAGTATTGCTATTAAATGCTATCTACTGTATGACTTTCTGAAGAACAGAAGACAGTCAGTCCACAGAATCACAGATATCTTTCACTTTCTGATTGAAGTCTTCAGGTTGATCAGCATACACATAATGACCTGCACCAAGGATAGCCTAGAGGACAAAGGTGAAGAAACAGGTCAAAATCACAAGAATGTAATAAACAAATAAATAAATATTGGGATTTGTGACGAACCTTTTACACATTACCTACTTGATACATCATTACTTGAAAAGACAAATTTCAAAACTGCAACTGATCTCTTGTGCCCAGCTGGTGTTAATGCAGTTTAGCACAACTGCTGCCAGGAGGTGGTATCATACAGCCTAAAAAGGACTGTAAACATAAGGAAAACCAAGAGCTTGTTTCACGTGTTGAAGGAACTTTGCTACACAGGAAAAGAGGGTAAAACTACTGCTCATTCAACTGCACACCTTGTCAAAAAAAAACACCTTTCAAGCGCACACAAGTAACTCCACTTAGAAGTGAGTGCTTTACTTAGGAGAACCTGCTTTACATATCAAACTTCTGATACATCTTTACCCCCTCCATTCTCCACTTAAAAAGTTCTGCCAGGTTGCTCGTTAGTTCTGTAAGTGTTAGCATTAGAGAGACCATCAAATCATTTGTATTCCCTTATTATATAAATAATATGGAAGAGACTAAAAAAGGTACTAGAATAAATGATTAAGAACTTAGAAGCTTAAATTGCTGGGGATTTTTCCACAAGTCTACGTGAAAGCAGATTTCAAGCCTCCGAATTAATGACCACTATGTTAAGCAGGGACAAGTAAAATCCAAATGACACAATCAACGAGGGGAAAACCTCACATCAGCGACATAGATCATTTCACAGCAACTATGTAACAAAATTAAGGGCTTAAGTGCCCACACACAGGGTGGTTATCCTATTCCTATGATTTACCATTCTCTGCCGTAACTGGTACGAAGCAAGCCATCATCACAGTGTACAGCAAACGTATTTGACCTATTTTCTTTCCATTTTACAATTAGTCCAGAATTATTTTGTATTTAAATCTATTTTTCCCATTCCTCCATTAAAACACTCCCTCTTAAGTCTCTAATTGAAGCCCATAAAAGTATAGCTACGTTATTGTGTTAAAAACCCCCACAAACTTAAAGTAAAAATTAATTAGAAATAAACACACGTAATAAAACCCCAGAATCTCTGTGCACTTTACCAAGTATGGCACTGCCAGTCAATGTCTCAGCCTTAGCCTCATGAGAACCCTTTCCCTCCTACGGTTTTTTGAATGTCCCTATAATTTCTAATCACTCCAATTTACCTTTTAGAGTCTGTATTTGGCTTGATGAAATTTTAACCTGGAATACAATAAAGTTTTCCACAGTCCCTTCTAAAAGCCATTGATCAGACTGGAAAAATCTGCCTGAACGGGTATATTGCACACTTCTTAACAGTGACTTTTTGTTACAACTTTCTCTCTGGTTAAGCAGTTAAGAGACACTTTCAGTCTGGATGGCAACATTTATGAAATGTATTTGTGCTCTTTAACAGGTAAACAGTCAGTAACGATGTCTTTTCTCTGAGTTCCAGCTCTGATGTCAGCTATATCAAGATCAGAAAATTTTATTTGAATGACTGGTCATAGTATACTATCCGCATCACATATCATACACTTCTGCCCAGACAGACCTGGACATCAGTGAGAAGACTGCATCCAGCTCTGGAGTCCTCAGCACATGAAGGACATGGACCTGTTCGAGTGGGTCCAGAAGAAGGCCACAGAGATGGTGGGAGGGCTGGAGCACCTCCCATACGAGGACAGGCCCAGAAAAGACAAGGCTACCATTCTATGACTCTATGACAGCTGGTATATTAAAATATTTTACCCCCTCATAGCACTGTAACATATATGCATATTCAATTATCATAGCTGACTGATGTGACTGTGTGGAGAATACTTTTAGATTTGTTTGTTTTTATAGGAATCAACAAAAATGCAGTGTGCACATTCACATCAAATTGTGAGTACACACATTTTAAATTATAATGTCATACCTCTAAACGAGACTGTATTAGCTAGGAAGACAACACTAAGTATTTTTAATGACTCAAAAAAAGATGCTTACAAGAACCTAAGCACCAGGTACAAACTGCTCTCATATCAGAGAAACAAAAGCATTGTACAGACAGATTAGAATAGTTTATGAGAGCCTCCTTGCTATGTCATACATACACACAGATATTAGGACTGCTGTGCCTTAAAACACAGACAAACTCCAGATACTTACCAGTGACCAAAAAACCTACTTCTATTAGTACACTATACAGCAAAATGTTTTGTAGAGGAGAAGAACGAGCTTGCTCAAAAATCTAATTCAGCTTCTAGTGCTACAGTAAGTTTCCTTTTTACTCTGGGAACAGAACACTCTTTTGTTTAGATTTTCTGTGATCTAACACTTGTTTTCAGAAAACCAAGTGATCTAACACTGTGATCAGTGATCTAACACTCTGTTACAGAAATCAGAAGTTATTGCCCCAGGCTTTAAACCAAAGGGCCAGCATTTCCACAGTTGGCATAAAAAACATAGATACAATTTAAACAAATCCACACAACAAAGGCAACTCCTTTCAAAGTCAACTTACTATTGTCTTCACATATGAGTTTGGTCTCAGAGACTGGATAGTGCTGCCAGAATTGCCATCTATACATGAACGTGCTCCATAGACCACAGTGATAGGAATGTCTCCATCCATTTGTGGAATCCGTTGCAGCATCGGCCTTTTTGCCCATCCATAAGGAATAGTCATGTTCTTGAAAGCTGTTTCACCACTTCAGGTCATTCAAAAGGGTAAAAACAATTAAATTTCTATTGGATCTGCCTTTTCTCTAAATTGGAGCATACAGTAAAGTGCCTCAGTGCACAGTGGTAACACTGAGTGCAACAGTACATGAAGCTGCGATTTTTTACTGTTAAGAAATATAAGTTTTCAAGGTTTGCATGTAATTTTCAACATAAGGAGTCTATTGTTTCTACCGTACTGAGTGATAACACTTAAAAGAATTAAATGCCTTATTTTTAAAGTTTTTTAAGAAACTAATTACAAATTAAAGCACTGTAACAATTTTTAAATTAAAAATTAGTGCCAAAATTCTCTCAGAATTATCACACAGGTAGTTTAGAAGAAATACATAATTAGGATAGCTTTTACATTTATTCAGTTTCTGGAATTCAGAAAGTGCAATGCTATTTTTTCTTCAATTAATACAATAAATGTTGCAATTAAAAAAAAAAAGCATGCACACTGTTGCCATGGCCATCAGAGGGAGTAGCAGGCACTCAGTAAATGAAAGAGACTTCAAAACATACCCTAGGAAACTCATACTCACCTGGGTGACTGTACGTTGCAGTGATAGATATATTCAGCCACAGTGTTATCATCAAACATCGATGAATATTTTCGCTTGAAATCAGGTCTTAAACGCTGAACAAGGCTTAATCCTGTTAAAAACCAGAAAATACTATTAGAGGAGGAATGTGTATAGACAACTTTATCACATTGCCTAACACTTTTCATTACAACCCTCAAAACACACTCCCTTGAAACACGTGGACAAGCTTGATGACTTCTAAACCAATGTTTTGTTTAATCACTTGCATGTCTTAGGAAAACATGATGTGATTACACCAAACAGGAATGAAACATAAATATTCTAAAGGTTTTTATGCCGCACCATAAGAGGGGCAATTCAATCACTACTGAACACATATGCGGAATTTTTGAGAAGGGCAGCAATAGAACAAACACGCAAAGAGGATCAGCAAAAAGGCTAAGGAGAGTTATCTTTTTGCCACCAGTTTAGTCTCACATGATACCAACACTTTCTCCTTGCTCTGGCAGCACCGGGTGGGCCAAAAGCATCCCACCTTTCACAACCAGAAGGCACTGTTGAAAAAGCCGGGCTGTTTTTCTTCCTTATATCTAAGTCTGTATTCTTTTATAGAAGTCTTCTTCTGAAGCTAGTTCATCAAACTAGTGTTTAGTTGAAAGAACAGATGTCTACGCTGAAAAACAGGTGTAGAAATCTTAACATAAGACACAAGAAGTGGTATAAATTAAGAGATTTAACTTAGGACAACTACTGACCCCATGCTCTCTTAACAGCCAAAGTAGAGAAGCGGGTCCCTTCAGGGGCCAGTTCAGGTTTTCTAAGGTTAAGCTCCTATTCTGAATTACTACTTTAAGGAAGAAGCCTCTTCTAGTTGACCAGATGGATCTTTGGGACAAGAGCCTCACGAAAGGCTAATCTTAGTCTAAGAATATTATTAATTCCTAAAGAGATAGGCTTGCAGTTTACCAGTTGGGTTTATAAACTGAAAATACTGTTGTTAATATGTGCAATTATGATGATGTCACTTCTCCCCACCTGTCCCTGGCCATAGGCCTGGTATTATTTATGTATTGTCACAGGGACCTATGATTTTGTAACCTTGAGATCAGACTATTGCAACATGTCCTTACGTACGCTTTAAATCAATTTAGAAAACTAATACAGTGCAAGAGAAAATAATTCCCTTATGAAAAGCAATATAAGTCCTGAAGCGATTAAGATTTTGCAAACATTAAGCAATTTGATCTGCTGCTTGTGTTTTCTCTATAGTTCAATTCTTCTCTTCTAAGAGTTCAGTTGCTGGACTTCTCTTTTTTTTCTGTCTGTTAGGGGCTTTTTTGAATACAGACAATACAGCTGACTTGGAATAAAAGTACCTAGAAGAAAGAGACTAATGTTATGTCTTCCCCTGCTATCAGCAGAGAGGCCACAACATCCCCATTTCCAGTAACCAGGGGACTGAAACCACTTTCTGTTTTGACAGAAAGTGTTTCATCTGTGGGTCCAATCACAAAACCATTCTCCTTCCCTGGGAATTTACAGGGAAGTATGAAACAAAGAGTCAAGGCACCTTGGAACAAATTTTAGAATGAAATCACACTGGTTCATTCTCATAATGTTTATTGAGGACATGCTCAATTGTCTGGTTGATGTTTTTCATAGTGTCTATGAAAATGCTAAAAGAAATACTAACACTGAAGACTCTGAGTTCCACAAACAGGGTGTTCCACAAAAAAAGTTACATTATTGTTGAGGAATTTTCAGGCATTCAGCTGTGGGAATGGAATTCACAAATCCAGTCTAAGCACTGAAACCCTTATACTGTGAGCCTCCACAGTGACTATTCCAGTTAAGTGAAGGAAAACATGCAAATCAACTAACTGGAAACCCCTCAAAGAAAAAGTTCTCTCTTGTTTCTGTCTCTCTCCCATGTTTAAGTATCTGCCTGCGGGTCTAACTAAATGTGATACCATCACAATACCCCAAAGAACCTGGCTCACATTTAAGTGCCTAATTCACACCTTTGAACAAGAGCAATTGGCTTTATAGTGAGGATCAGACACTACGCTTGCCCAGCAGCTTAAGCATGTGTGCACGTAGAAGGAAACCTGCGTTTGGTCCAGCGCCTTCATCAGGTTGGGTTTGATGCCTACCTTGCAGCACAGTGTTTAAACTTGCCCTTCTCTAAAAACTATGCTTCACCTGTCAAGAATTGCACATTAAGTTGATGACGGAAAACTTTTTTAACACATGGAGTGAGAGTGGATGAAAATTTTGAAAAGCAGGTCCCTCCACAGCATCCTGTAAGCGAGGCTAGGTTGGGGATACCTTGCCAAGAGTCTGTTTCTGCATTATGATTTTGACTGCACTTGCTAGCAGAGACAACTTCAGCTTTGAACTCTTCCACATAGATTGATTTATGGATGCATTTGTTATTGGATAAAAGGCATTAAATCAGCGCTTATCACTCAATATGATTCAGGTTGTTTTGTTAATTGAATTAGCATTTTACTTTTAAAAAAAATCTGTTTGTACGAAACATTGCTTGTCTGAAAAGCTAATTTTGTCACACTCCTGAAAACAGTCAAATCGTTCAGCATATTAATATATATATTCTACAGAAAGAGATTTAGGAAACAGATGTAGTTTTTATAGATAAATAAACCCTAGAAATGTCATTAGTTTATCTTCAGACTTAATACTAAAAATGATGAAGAGGTGAGTTAATTGTGACTTGTGAGGGGACTGAAGGATATCTTTTTCCAAGCCTCTCGAGCAGATACTCCTGTAGTACACAGAGTAATAGACAGATAACCTCTTTCATCTCTAGAAGGAATACATATGACAAATTTAAGATTTGATCACACCATTCTCCTTACTCCCCCCATAAACTAAACGGTGGTATTTTTGGTCATCCCTACCTAGTCCTAGTATTAAGGTATATAGAGTTTATCTAACATCTTATCAGTGCTGTTGAAGAAACATAGAAACATGAAAGACAGACGGCCACTGTAACACAGGACACTAATGAGACCCACAACATTTGCTAGAGTAATAAGAAAATGGTTAATAGAAAGAACGCAGTTTCAATTTAACTTCTCTAAACTCAGGCCAAAGACAGATTAGGTTATGAGAGACTGCCTTCTAATGGTAACCAGATTTGGAAATCCTATTTGTCCATCAAACTGCAGTTGGAAGGGAAACTAAACGAACTGTGACCAGAGGCAACCAGAAAAAAACCTTTTCACATTCATGCCTCTTTGTCAGGCTTCCCCAACAAATGTACACATAATCTGACTCACTATAACTGTGCCCTACAATAATATAATGTAGCTTGCTATAAACTATTGTACTAGTATTTCTAATAGAAAGAGTTTGCCCTCTTGTCCTACAGAGTTCATCTTTCCTCAGCCCCTCCCACTTTCTCCTCCAACTCTGTTCTCTGCAGGTGATATGGGCTTGCAACAAAGCTTATCTTACTGTGGTATCTGCCCCATGTTTGTGTTTAATGATAACAGAAACAGTATTGAAGAGCAGCTAAAACTCACCAAAGGGTCCGGCTATCCTCAGCCCAGCTAATGGATTAAATGGACTCAATATAGCTCCTAGTGCTTTGATCCATATTGGAATTGGCCTTTCATGTTCAGCATTGTCAGGCCTCTCTGGAAAACCCCATGGCTCCACTAAGATAAGATGTTTGACCCTGTTGGCAGAAAAGGTTCAAAGGTTTAGAGTACATTAATTTTTCTTTGACTGAGTACAACGGAAATGTGCTATCTGTGGACTACACAACTTGTTTTAGTCACTTCTGTCATAGTGGCCTACTACCTAGTTTCTGATTCACCAAATGTTCTGGTTTTTGATTGCTAATTAGAGAGATAATGAATTGCACCTAATCATATGTATGAACACCAGAAACATGGAAGCTCAGGTCACAAAGAAAATTCAGTATTCAATAGGTATCCACTGTCACACACATTTGAGAAAAAGGCCGGTCTTGTTTCTATTTTTAAAAATAGCATAATCTACATGCTCAGTCAACATTATTTGTAGAAGCAGTTTAAATGGAGAGAAAATAAGATAATTGCATCTGTTTCATATAAGTAAGCTTGCTAAAAGCCTTTATTTTCCAAGCCATCTAAGATCTCTAAGGAGAGTCGCAATTTATCAGAAAAATCATCTTATCAAAGTAAAAATTTGAACTAAGAGAGGCAGAGCAAGATTAGCATATGTTTTCTAAATTTACTGATTTAGGTAATTAAAGAAACGTCAGAGAGACAATTTATAAAATTATTACTCAAAGGAATCTCAGTACAGAGAGCATAGTAGGAGTCTTCAGCATGTGCAACTATCAATCACTTCATGCTGCAAGTCCCTCTCAAGCAAAAAAATCTATTTACTTTTGGTAGATTGGAATTGTTCATTTCTGTTTAACCCCATAATAACACCCACTCTAACTGTTCTAGATACTGCCAATTTCTGAAAAAGTTACTCTTAACTATAGTTTTGCATATTTAAGGTGATTTTCCATGCAAGCTTAACCATCTTTACTTTCTTCTTCATGACTTCCTTCTCTTTCAAAGCTATGAGATTAGATATTTAATACAGCAGAATTCTTAGTGTCTAAAATGATGCCAGAAGTTATTCCAAAGGCTATTTCTGGACTATAAGCAGTTGGGAAACAAAAAATCTGCACTTGAAATGAGGGGTTGAAAGGATTAACCTCACAAAGACATTTCTTGGCTGTCAGCTCAGCCATGAGCATATTGGCACACAGCAGCAAAAGCTAATGGTAAGAGAGGACAGGGTAGAATTTAACCATACAAACCAAGCAGAAGGGATTAGAGGCTAAGGAGCACAAGCAATGAGGAGCTGTTCAGGACAGCCACACATTCTGTGCACAAACTATGGAATTAACACAGCAAACACATGAATAAAAATAGAGTAAGCATTTTTTCATGTTTCCTTTCTTAATACTTTCCTTGCTGTTTGGCATTTCTCCTTTTGGTAACCAGGCCTAAAACACAGGCCAGGATAATGGGAAGTTGACCATGAGAATCATTCCAAAAGTAATAGTCCAGTAGTTGCAGTATTTGAAAATCATGACCCACCATCACTTGGGAATATTCTAAACAGGGATCTTTTTGGATTAGTAACCTCAGATGTCCCATGAACAACTTTGGTACAATGTAGTAAATTAATGGATCATCTAAGCTTGGAGAAACAGATCTACTTTCCTAACAATATGTATACAGAATCCCTTAAGCCTCTAATGCATTGTTAGATAATCTGTCTGAAAGCTGTGCTATATTTATCACTCGATTTAATGCTGTCTTAAGGCCCTACCACTCAATTTGCTAATTTGATGGTGTTATTTTAATTTCAGACAAACATCAGTAATGTGAGAGTACAAACTGAAACACCCCCAAATTAATTAACCCCAACTTAAGCACAGGAAGGCATGAAAACAAAGTGTCACTTCTGATATAAGCCAGCAGAAACAATATCCCATCCCACAAGGATGGGACAGCACCATTTATAGACACTTCAGAAAAAGGGGTAAGAAACTCATAAGTGATTCCTACAAGAAACTAACTGCAGCTAGCTAGAAGTTGCTTTATGCCCAAGAAGATAGCAGGTTTAAATCCCTAGAGCAGAGGATTGCATTTCTTCATGGCAATTCTGGATTTAGACACACGTCTCTTTCATACATCATTTCCAGCAGCATATGGCAGCTGTCGTCCACTTGGAAAGAGAGGCAAAGTGTTCTGGGAAAAAACGATGCATGAATTTATCTCAAAATCTCCACATGAGAGACAATCTCCACATGAGAGACAAAGGAATGTATGTGGCTCCTGGTGAGGGGTGGACTCATGGCCTGGGGGGACACAGGTCCAGGGCAGCAGTATGGTGGGGCCCCGGGGCCAGAGGGAGCACTTATGTGGCCAGTGCCTTCAAGTGAGGGGAAGCAGAGGCAGCTGGAGGCAGGAGGACACCCCGCCCCCACTGAACCAGAGGTCACTGGGGATAGCACCCCAGGAGGGAGGGGGGCGTAGCAGGGGCAGGCCCTGTCATGGGGCTGAGGGAGATAGGGGGATTGGCGTGGAGGTGGCGGGGTCCACCCTGTCCTGGGAAGCGAGGGTTGGCATGGAGGAAAGGGGAGGGACCGTGAGGGGGAGGAGAAGAAGGAAAAACAGACAGCCCAGGGGATGGAACAGGGCCAGGCTGGATGAGGCTTTGAGCAACCTGGTCTAGTGGAGGGTGTTGGGGTTGGCACTAGATGATAAGATGCCTTCCAACCCAAACCATTCTATGATTCTATGAAATTGGTGTGAATATAAAAGAATAAGATATGTTTTGTATAATATAGAATCTGACATACGATGGGGAAAGCTAAACTTACATTCACAGTTTTTCACAAAGCCCACTATGTGTATCTAAACAAAACCAATATCCTTTCTTGATACAGAATGACCTCAGCTGGTGGGATCCTAGCTCACCAGAGGCTATATAACCAGACTATATCAAAAAAAGAGACAAATTATTGGTTTAAGAGAAAAAAAATGGATTAGCTGTTGGCCACAATGTGGTGCAGAAAATGCTGATGAAATACAATTACAGGACTGCTGCAGCTGGGTTGTTCTGCAAAGAAGAAATATGAAGTTGTATCCAGACAATTTAAATCAAACAGTCACTAAAATAATTTTTACATTATCATGCTGGTACCAGGCCAACTGCTAGCATATAGGCATAAACTACTTAGGGGAATTAGGTTCATAAGTTTCAATGTTATCCATAATAATGGGAAGTTTCGCAGAAACAGGCCTATTTTCCCTTCACAAACCTATGTTTGATCAGAGATGTCACAAAACATTCACCCATAAATACAATCTTTGCTATTTCATCTTATACCATGACAAGTGGATTACTGAACAAAACAAAAAGAGGTACAGAAAAGGGCACAGAAAAGCATGTTTATCATATCTACTTATTTCTATTCACCTGGCAACAAGCCATACAATTAACACTTAAATTAAAATTCTTAAAATTCAGTATCAAGTTTCTTTAAATCATTTACTTAAAAGATAATCTATAAAGAGACCGATGAAACAAAATCAGTGTTAAAATCACTAGTCAAATACAAAAAAGGAATTTCTTCATTCCTTTATTTTCACATACCTTGATGGGTATTTTAATGAGTAAGCAGCAGCCAGGAATCCACCTAGATTATGTCCAAGTAAAATCATTTTTTCTAACCCCACCTCCTTTCTCCATTCTTCTATGGATTCCACAAACTGATTTTCTGCCTCCCGAGCATCAGTGTCAAAGTGTGGTCTACTGCTACGTCCAAATCCCAAGAGGTCGAAAGCATAAACGGTCCTGTTCTCACAGAGATCTTCAAAATTGAGAGCCCACATTCCAACACCTCCTCCAAACCCATGCAGGAGAACAAGCGGAGTTTTATGTGAAAGGTCTGGAGAGAATGTCAGTGTCCATATTTTATTTCCATTAGATAAATACACATATCGTTTATTGTATGTGCTTGCAATACCTGAAGAAAGAGTGGGAAAAAACAATGTTCATAGACATGTCTGATAAAATATGAAGTACATTCGACAGTAACTACTTTTAAACAGGAGCTCCCTTTCAAAGGAGAGAGCCTACAATCAAATATCTAAACTAAACCTGTTTATTTCATCACAGTGCAAAAGCCATATCTAAAAACTTATTTGTTATATTTAACGTAAATTTATAGAAAATCTAGTAATATCTATAAGTCTTATTAAAAACTAAAGACTTACATTTTAGCATTTTGTCCTCGGCCTCTTTAAGGTGTAGCAGTGATGTGGGACACCAGGCAGGAAGCCAGCTGAATAACCATCCTAACCTATAATAGCAATACAGAATAAACATTTCTTCGTCAAGATGGTAATTTTTTGCACCATTTGATGCTTTGAAGACATTTCTTTTGCTGCTCTTCATAAAAGAACCCATGTTATATGCCATGCAGGACAGAAGTCTGCAGTGGGAGGGAGCTCACTTTCTCCTGACTTTTATAAAGCAATGTCATCATCAGGGGCGTTCTTCAAACAGCGCACTGTTTCTCCACTGTGTGTTCCTGATCAGAGTGTACTGATCTATCTCCGTCAGAGCAGGCTTCTTCTGAGAACCTGGAGACACCAGTCCTCATGCTGACCTGACAAGCCTGGCAGGATACACAGCACAATCATTGGGGTTTCCAGCCTCCTCTCAAGTTCCCTTGGAAGTCTGCCTGTGCACACGTTACCTTGCATGAACCCACTATTTCCAAAAAAGCAATAAACTGTGTGCTCACCAGCCTAACCTGAACTGATTCATACACTAGATCAATTTTAAAAGTGAAAAGTAAGCAGATTTATTCCAGTGAAGCAAAAACTTGGGCCTTCATTGCCAACTTAGAAACAAAGTCACACAGAAAAACAAAACAGCAATTTCAGTTCCCCCAACAGAAGATGCTTTTCCAGCTGCCAGTTACTATCTTGGTAGTGCTAGCTTGACCACAAAAGCAGGAGGAATGACTCAGCTAGCAGCATTGCCTCCCTGACAGTGCTTCAAAGAACAGAGCAATTGCATACAGCTCTTCCTGGGTGCTAATTTATCCCTTGTTTTCAAGACTGAATCCTCTTTTTCGCTCTCTCTCCTGTTTTTGAAGTGGCTCAGACTGTCAGTGCAAAGGCTGCTACTGTAGGACCCCAGACCATTCCTCAGAGGGAAGAGGATAAGGTCACCAAATTCACAATCAACAAACTTTCTTTAGCACTTTTTTCCTACACTGAACTGCTTTCCAGTTAGCTATAGTATTTTCAGGACTGAATGCTGCGCATATTACTTGTTCAACAATTAACATTAAAAGACTATAAGGTTACCAATGTCCAGTTTTTCAGAGTGCACACGACACATTGATACCAAATCACAGATTTGGCCCCTCAAGTTTCCCCCAAGGATCCAAAGGACCTTCTCTCCACCTTTTTAAGGGGCTGAGCTACTCCAGCTGCATAGCTACTGAGTTTATAATAAATTTATGATACAACATGGAAGGTTTTCTGCAGATGCACAATGCAATCACAAGCAGCACTGTTCAGATTCATAGAAACATATTAGGAAATATCAAGGAAAAAAAATCATACCTGATCCAAAAGGATTACTCATCCAACCACCCATGCCCCCTGCTATTCAGTATTATGTCCTCCGAGAAACACATTGAAGTCTGGATAATCTTCCTAAACCACTAGACCACAGGAGTTATAATGGTGTAGAGGGACTGGGAAGGGAAGGTTGCATGTCCTTCCATGCCATGTCCTCATGCAATCTAAGAAATGACAGAACTTAGCATCTTACAGGAATGGGCATCCAAGTGTTGCTTCCACATTATTCTACACATTTATCTGCAAGATTTTTAATAGGTTAAAGCTGGCACCAGCCAAAACCAATTTCACAAGCAAATAACTGTGAAATCTGAGTTTAACAATGTCACTAATTTTGTCCAATGTTATTAATTACTCTGATAAACTATTAAACAACAGCTAGGTCACCACCTTTCCAAAACAAACTTTCTGCTAGTTATATGTTCAACTAGGCATTTCATTCATAACTCCCAGGTCAGAAGCACAAAACCCAGTCACTATTTTCCCAAAGCCAAAACTATGAAATTATTTCTCTTGGCAAAACCACTGATTTAGCAAAGAAACTTCTTTAAAGATTTTTTTTTTTTTTGCAGAAATGTATAGCTGAAACATGTCAACATGAAGACAGTGCAGAGATACGACCACAACAAAATAAAAATGAAACCTACAGTTAGTTCACAGTCCCAGAATTTTATTTCCCAGTCTTGGGAAGAAACCTGGATACTCAGGAAAAATATTTAGAAAATTGTATCAGAATGGGAAAGTTGTATCACAGATGCCCACTCTTTCTTTTGTTACTTATAAGTACTGTTTATAAATACCGAGATTTTAATTCAGGAGAGACATCACATACATGTATAGCTTGACAAATACAGTCAGTGAGCTGAAACACCTAAAATAAAATGTTTGCAATTCAGTCACTCTGTACTTGCTGAAGTAGAAGAGCAAGAGAAGAAGGCTTTCTGTCAAAAAAAAAAAAAAAAGTGATTACTTTCTAGAAAAGTTATTTTAGAAAGAAATTCCTTAGTTACCTATATTCAAGACTTAATCCTTTCTTTTTACCCCTCTCCTTCCAAAAATTATTGACCACATTGCTAGGTGTTTTCTGCATGTGGAGAACAATCAACTACTTAATTTATTTGAATAACTTCTCTCACAGCTTTGGAAGACTGGAGCGTGGCTGTATCACTTCTGTACATTTGTGCTAAATGTATCTTCTAAATGGACACAAGCATGTCAATTCATCACCCACCACCTCCCAGATACTCTATTTCCATCTTTCTTTTTACAAAAAGAAAACTCACCAGTGGATTCTTGTATTTTGAAGAGTTCATAAATCCATTGGACTTAGCTGTTTGCTATATCAAACAGTGTGAAATAAATCTGGCAGCTGACAGCCCAAATTTCCATCATTTTTACACTAATTGTACACACTGGCATTACACATCAAATTACCAAGCCATATAACTAGGGGAATTCAACCTGTATATTTGTCTGTTGCCATGCAGTAACATAAACCAGCGTGCACATCCATGCTAAAATAAGCAGTAATCAATAGGGCAGAGCATGCCTAAGGGTGCTTCCTCACATTTCCTATTTGGGGTCAGTTATACTTTTCACAGCCACCTGAAAAAGTCTGGAGTACCAGAGGCCAGAAAATCAGAGGCCAGCAGGTAGGAGACTGCTGACCTGCCAGGCGTTCAAGGAAGTCACCCTCTCTGCCAACAGACCTCCACACCTCTTGGAACATGTCTGGGGCAGAAGACTGGAAGGTAAGGGAAAGCCCCAGAGACATCCACTGAATGGCCTTGGATATGGAGAAAGTCAAAGTGATTTGTGTGAGGCTAGATTAGTGAGACCATCAGTAGCCCATGCTGGCAACCAAATACAGTAATAAATACTGAAAACAAAAGGGACACAGGCACAGACACCCGACAGTGTGGAGGGCACAGACCCCCGACAGTGTGGAGCTGCAGCTGCTATGCAGAGGGGCCAAGCTGCCAGCCAGGACCTAACACCTTGGCTAGTTGGAGCAAGTGCCCTGTTTCCCTAGGTCCAAGCACCAGAAAGGATAAAAATAAATAAATAAATAATTATTTAAAAATAACTAATGATTACTATCTTTAGACATCTAAGGAGTAAAGAATAATTGAATATTGTGTAAAATGTAACTAAGGATAATACTGCTTTTCCATTGCTGCTTAAATGTTAATTTGAATCAAGAACTTGCTGTCACAGCACAGCTTAAATTGCCCAAGGGTAACTTTCAAAATAGGAGAACCAAGTAGAGGCAGAGGCACAGTGAACCTGGCCCATCTATTCACCTCCACTAATTAGGTCAAATCAGATGAAAAATGTGGCAAATAACAGGTAACTTGGATACTACCATTCTTCCAGCTAGATAAATCCTATTTACCTTGGTGAGAATAGATTACATGCAAGACAAGTGATGGATCTGTAGCCAGTTACAAATTTGACATACCCCACTAAAAGCTCATGAAAACTTAGATAATACTGAAGAACTGAAAACATCTTAACACTGAGGTATGTACTCAAACACCTGAACAGTCTAACTGGTTTCTGGCTTGCAATGTGGATTTAAAAAATGAAGCTCTACCATATAAAGATGCTCAATGACTGTTCAGCAGAAGTTGCTTATAACTCTACCTAGGAGATATAAATGTACATACATGCAGCTCATCCTCTCACTTTTCAAGCTTACAATTTACTTATATTAAATTATATGAATGCATGGCTTACAAAACACATTAAGCTTAAAAACATTCACCAGAGGCATCCTCCCATGTATACCACCATTGTAGAGATAGCTATAATGATCTAGGGAAAGCCTGTGTGGCAAAAAAGCAAACCAAAAAACCTGTAAGTAACAGAACTCCACTAAATCAACGTAAATGAAAGCAACACCATTTGCTACGTGATGATTTGTCAAAAATGGCTGACTCACCAAGACTGGACATACAGAGATCTTCATACAGTGCTGAATATAAAATCAGCTTTTCACTAAGAATTTTGAAGTTAGTACAGTAATCAAAACTCTCAGTATAGAACAAAAAACATGCACCAGTGACAGAAGCATGGAGGACAGACTTTCCTGCCATTAAGACTATTTGGGCTTTAAAAAGACATCAGCAGGGAAGCCAGAGCTCAAGGTATACAACAATTACACAATAACTCACAGACATTATGGGAGTATAACTAAATGCACGAGCAACAGAGCTGCATATCTGTTTCTCTCTTGCTCTCAGCAAATGAACATACTGAATATTTTAAATAGAATTTTTGCAGACAGTGTCTGCAAGCTACCAAGGTTTTAGCTAGGGAACAAGCTCAAAAACTTAAAAAGCTGAAACACTGAGAGCACTCACTGGTAAACCATTTCAAGCTTTACCCTTTACCCTTAAATCTTATTAGAATCAAGCTGATCTTTCAAAAACCCTAACCCTCTCTTCTCCTGAGTCTCAGAATTAATTCCAGCTATTTATAAGGAAGGAAACAAAACAAAATTAATGCAGAGAATTTGTCATATTGTTTCTGCCCAGAACCAAGAGGAATGGCATTGTGATTTTCAGGGCCATCCAGCTGGCAGGGCAATTATGAACATTCATCAATCTGAACTAGCCCCAAATTAAGAGCATCTTGCACTGTAAGATAAAAACAAGGGTAAGCAAATGGAAAGACAGCTCACACTCTCCCCTCTTGTTTA